CTGGATAAATATTCAAAGGCTTTTATCCTCACAAACCGCGCGGACGTAAATGCGTCTGACTGTTGTGATTGGCTAAAGCAGACGTCTTACGTCAGCACGTTCTAGACGTGCACGCGCTTATTACGGGAGTCTTCCTTCTGCATTCACACAGCGCAGCATTCCGGCAAATTGCCGGTAATGTTACAACTTCTCTTTCCGGAAAATAGCCAGAACGAATTTACCGGTATTTTCAAAAAGGACCTGTTCACACATACAACCGTTCCGGAAAATTGCCGGCAATTTTCCGGAAAGGTCTGTATGTGTGAAAGGGGCTAATGAAAAGACTCGTGCGGCCGCCTTTCTTCTCTCCTGAACTTGACAATATGATTGGCAGAATTGTAGAAATGCTGGATTGAGATCGTCTAGGGCAGTGGTTCTCAAACTGTGGTACGCGTACCACTAGTGGTACGCGGGCTTCCTCCTAATGGTACGCGGAGGAACCGCTGAACAATGAAAGAAACAATTAACACTTTTAATCCTTTAATGCGTAATATAACATCGATTTGATCAGCATTGGCTGTTTTGTGAAGCGTACGATCACAACGCTGTGCTTAGAATGTTTATTTTAGTGCATTGTGTAATAAGCTGTTATAAATCATTTCCCGAAGTTTAAGAATTGATTCTGAAGCGTGATTTGACTGACATGAAAAGTGGCCAATCACAGTCGACCTTGTCTAGTTGCGTAAAACGTAAGGGCGGGACAAAGGCTTTCTGTGTTGCAGAGACAGAAAAAACAACTTAAAAACAAATGTGTTGTTGGAATAATGCTTCTCGGATGTTTTCACTATAGAGATGTCTAGCAGAGTAATTAAACCGCGGACATATTTCCTGCCTTTTTGATGATCTACAAACACGTTTCGCTCTCCGACAGCCAGTCTCTCGCCTCTGACCTGTCACTCCTCTAAATACATTCTGAATGGCGGCGCGGGAATTGAGGTATTGCGCAATTACTCATTTCTGCAAATGTGGCGAGTGCTTTATTTTAACACGAGAGCGCATTCATGTACGCAAATCGCTAAAACAGATATGTGAGCTTTTAAATAGGCTTTTTTTTTCAAATGAACTGCAAGTCCTCTCATGATCGCGTGTGTGCTCAGATTGAATACAATCGCGGTCTTTCCACTATTAAAGTAGACATTATTTATCTTTGTTCCTTGACTAAATTTAGTCAAAAGTATTCAAAGTTATTAAGTATTAAGAAATAGATTGATACATGATCGATGACAATGCTAATGGTCTTCTTATTTGGCTGTGTTGTGAAGTGAAACTTACTTTTAGCAAAGGTGTATTTTTTTTCTTTACGAAAAAATAATTATGCTGGAAATGTTTCTGGATGAGGTATTTGTGTGATTTATACATTTAGCTGTATTCTGATCTGTCTTAAACCATTACAGGTCAAAGCAATCCGTTTGTTACTTATTGTTTATTTATCAAAATTAACAATAAGGCTCTTAAAGCACTGCTTTGATAAATGTAGTGTTGTCATTTCAAATACCTCAAGTAAAATAAAGTAATTTTGTTTTATAAATTTTTTTTTACTGACAGTGTACTTGTATTTTTTTTTTAAAGTTTCTATTTTAGATTAGGTTAAATGTAAAATAAAATCTACATGTGATGTACAGCTTTTTAAGAAACAAATTTGCCGTATTGTAAGAAAAATAGTGTAAAATATGTAAATAAAAGGCTAAATTAAATCTTTTTACCATATACTTCAATTAAACCTTTCAAAGCTTGTAAATATCGTTTTAAAAAATGGGCAAAAAGTGTCTCTATGGCCTTAAAGATTATTTGGTAGTTTTACCAGTGCTATTGAAAAAGATTAATTGTCATGAAAGGAAAAATCGACCATACTTTCTTTGTTAGTGCAATTTCCTATACATGTAGCTTTGGGATTTAAGCAATTAAACCATTCAATCAGGTTTACAATTAAAAAAGTGATTTCATAATGAAAATCAGATTTTTTTTTTTTCAAAAGTAACCAACTAGTACTTTTTAAAAGAGTACTTTGTACTTTTACCTAATATTAATATTATTTATTAAAATTTGTGTTATTTTAGCAGCGTAATAGTATTTTTACTTAAGTACAAAAAAGATTTCACAAGCATTTAGTGTGCAGGTTTATTATATTATTAATATATGATTAATAAATATTATTTTTTATGTTTTTTATTTGTATCTATTCCTATGCAATGTTTTATGGGTTGCTGAGAATACTTTTCAGGTCTTCAATACATAGCATGTCAGTCTTGAAAAAAAAAAAAATAGGTGCTGGAATTGATTTTCATTAGGCTGTGCCTGTATAAAACCCTGTCATATGTACATTTAACATTTATTTCAAGATTTGTCTGAAAGTGTATGAATATAACATATAGCCTATATTTATAAGGTAAAAGCAACATCTCCAGCTTTTGATGAATAGGCTACAATGAATACTTTAGATTTAAGTACAGCAGTTTTCTTTTTACTTTTTAAGAACAACGCCATTTTTAATGAACTTTTGAAAACACATTTTAACAAAAACTTTTTTTTAAATCTGCAAGCACAGTTAATGTTCAGACTATTTCAAATGTTTAAAGTGACTGATAATAATACATATTCTTAATAATAGGAATTAATCTGCATCATTTTTAAACTGTGCACACCTGTAGCTGCTTAATTAGGCCTATGACGCTATTTTTTAATACTGGTTAAAAAATAGCGTCGTAAGGTGGTACTTGGAGAGACAATTTTTTTCTAAGGTGGTACTTGGTGAAAAAAGTTTGAGAACCACTGGTCTAGGGGGTCGAATCGAGATCGCAATCTTTTAACGATTAATTGTGCAGCTCTACTCCCTACCATGCTCCAAGCCAGACAGGGAGACAGAAAAGTGGTTAGAATGTACACTGTGTACTTCAATTCAATTCAATTTAGCTTTATTTGTATAGCGCTTTTACAATGTAGATTGTGTCAAAGCAGCTTCACATAAATGGTCATAGTAACTGGAACAGTGTGGTTCAGTAACTGGAACAGTGTGGTTCACATCGGCAACTCATGAAACGCCACATAAGAGACATTGGCAACAATCACTCAGTTCTCATTGTTCAAAGTAGCAACATCACTACAAAGAATTATGAGCAGGGAATCGAGAGAGAGAGAGAGAGAGAGAGGAGCCGCTGAATCCATGTTGTCTGGGGTTTTAAATATGGCCACCTCCAATCCAAGTCCCTATCATGATCTGCCGTAATCCACTGCACCTGCGAATAATTCAGACCGAGAAACAGCTCGAGAGAGAAAAAAACACCACACACACTACAACGACTACTCGTAACAGTATTGAACACATGAAGAAAGGAAGGTATGGAAAGGCAGTGAAAGCCCAGACAGCAGCTGAAATCTCTTTTCAGCAACCCTCTGCCCTTCGTTAAAAGCAGCATACCTGTACTTTCATGGTTTTGGATGCTACAATTAGCACAATTACATGCAGTAGTGTTAGTTCTGCACAATATAATGTTTTAGCATTGATATTGTAATGTGCGGATCTGCAATATTCACATTGCAAGATGCAGCGGGGAAAATAAGTATTGAACACATCAACATTTGTCTCAGAAAACGTATTTCTTTCTTTTTTTTATAATTATTTTTAGGAGTTTCACCTTTATTTGGATAGGACAGTGGAGATTTTACAGACAGGAAAGTGTGGGGAACAGAGATAGGTGAAGGATCGGCAAAGGACCTTGATCCCGGAATTGAACTCGGGTCGCCGTGAGCACCTTGGTGCTATGTGTTGACGCACTAACCACTAATGCCGAGTTCAGACTGCATGATTTTCAAACTAGTCGTGTCACAGATGTTTTCACACTGCATGACTATCTGGGCTAGCGTTTCGTCGCTGCTTTGTTTACACTGCAGGATGGTTCGGCGACATAAACATTCACATTGCATGACTTTACTATAGGGAGAATCGCCGACAACTTCGTACAAACTACGTCTCACAGCCAAAAACAAGTAGTATATCTTTTGCTATTAACTACATAATGAGAAAGAAGCCTTTAATGGGGTAGAACATGTACATGTTTACTCACCTGGGTTTAAAGGGAATTAGCCATTTCTCCTCAACGTTGATAATAAACTAATTTATTTCTGTATTAAATGTCAAACAGACATGGTTGCTCCTGAGTCCTGTCAAACCTCCACTAGTTTTCCCTCCATTTCGTGGGTCCAAATAAACCGAAAAAGAGCGCTTTTAACTTCTCCCCCAGCCTCCCACTGGCCTGCAGCAGGTATACACACACGCACACAAAAGTGAAAGCTGCTCTCTCATTGGCTGTAGGCGATGGCTGATGTTATTTTCAGTCAAAACTCAATTCACACGGCATGATTGGAATCGTCGACAGCTCCAGATATTCAGCATGCCAAATATCTCGCAGGCATCGGCGATTCTCTCAGATCGCGTCTTTGATCGTTCATACTGTGTGATTGTCACTCACGTGCACGAGCAGCGATTCGCCTGTGATTTCAGGCATTTGTCGGCGATTTCTCAAAACCTGTCGGCGAGCCAAAATCAGGGCTAAAATCACGCAGTCTGAACTAGGCATAAGCTGTTGGCGCTGACAGAAAACGTATTTCTAAAGTGAATCCCAATGTTATAGACTTGATATACACTGATAGCTCAGAAGCACATCTTTCCTACTTTACTTACTTACAATTTATTTATTAATTAAATTATTATTTTCCTCTTCAAATTTCTAAAGTTAATAATTTGTTGAATGATTAGTTAGTTTATTTAGCTTTTTTGGTACATTTTGGACTAAAACCCATAGCACAATATTTGTAAAACTTGCCTCTGGTTGGAAGCACAATGTACATTCATCCGGATTATTGTAAATAAACAAAAAATAATGTTCATATAAATGATGTGAGTCAATTTGATGTTACGCTTTACAATATCATTTAGTGACCTTCTTAATTCTCGTTATTTTTAGGTTGTGATGGCAGTTTGTCAGCTCTACTGGCATTTGGCCCCTAAACATGAGATCAGCATCATCACCAAGTCCTTGGTGAGGCTTTTGAGGAGCCACAGGTAACATACTGTACATATAGAACTGCAGCATTATTATGATCATACAGTATGTGTTTGTCTAATCCCTGTTTTTATTTCCCTCTCATCTTTTTTTAGGGAAGTTCAGTATGTCGTGTTGCAGAACATCGCCACCATGTCAATTCAGAGGAAGGTATCAATCATTTTAAAGATAATATAAAACAGTTCATATTATTATTAGTCTATTTAAAGGCATAGTTCACCCAAAAATGTAAATTCTGTCATCATTTACCAGCAGCAGCCATTGAATTCTATAGCATTTCAACTTGCAGCCCAAGAGTGGTTACTCACTGAAGCTAAGCAGGGCTGCACCCGGTCAGTAGCTGGATGGGAGGCCACATGGGAAAACTAGTTTGCTGTTGGACGTGGTGTTAGTGAGGCCATTAGGGGGCACTCAACCTGCAGTCTGTGTGATTCCTGACGCCCCGGAGTAGTGAAGGGGACACCATAATGTCAGTAATAACCGTCTTTCGGATGAGACGTTAAGCCGAGGTCCTGACTCTATGTGGTCATGAAAAATCCCTTGGCCCTTCTTGCAAAGAGTAGGGGTGTAACCCCGGTGTCCTGGCCAAATTATCTCTATCGGCTCTTACCCATCAATTGACTCTATCAATGTCTATCCACGCCACCTGCAGCTGGTGTGTGGTGAAGCACTGGCGTCGTTGTCATGTGGCTGTCGTCGCATCATCCAAGTGGAGCTGCACACTTGTGGTGGTGGTGGTTTAGAGACACCCCCCATAATGATTACACACACACATCACGAAACGCTGAAGTTTTTTTCGTTTGCGTTCAGCATGCGCTATTAAAATCCATAACACTGTCACCAGTCCTTACTGCTTATTTGCGTCTAATACCCCAGTTTGTCAAAGGGCATGAATGAAATTTTCATGAGTTAAAGTGAAACTGCAGTTAGAGTCAGGCATCCTGCTGATTTGATTTAGAAGGGCACTTTTTTTGTCAGACTGCTCACCGGTCAGGTATACATCCGCGCTAAAATATCAAGGTGAAAGTCATCATAGCTTGTGTAGAATAGACCCAGATCCCAAACCAACTGTGAGAATAGATTGACGGCGATATTTTTTTATCGGGCGTTAAGAGTCTCGCATTAACGCAGCAAGTTAACACCGAGAACGGCCCACAACTAATATAAATACACATTACATTACATTACATATCATAGTTGTTTTTTGTTTTTGTTTTGTTTTTACTATGGAAGTCAGTGGCTGCTGGTTTCTGAACATTCTTCAAAATATCTTGTTTTGTGTAACTCACACAGATTTAAGTTTAGTAAGAGTTGACTAAAGCTGCCTTTCCACTGCACACGACATTTAGACACGACGGAATAAGCCCCCTTGTGGTAGTCTCACAGAATTTTCAGTGTTGTCGTGCACCATGGGGGAGGAGCTGTTCTCGCAGTATCCGAAATAAGAGTGCAAAAGCAAGAGCCTTTATTCTCTGTGCGTTCAATATGGTTGAATGAATGAATACTAGAAACTCATAGACAGCTAAAAACTATTGAAGGGAATGTGGAAACAACTATTTTTTATTACTTTAATGAATAGAAATGTTTTTTTATATAGACATTTTCTGATTTAAAAATAACCCCAAAAAACTACAATTTCTCATCTTGCTTGCACGGACCTGCATGGACAACACTGAAATACATCACATTCAGTCAGCTGGTCGCATCCGGTCTAGTCGTAGGAGTTCAAATATTTCAACGGATCCGAATTTTCCGCATACGGAGATCATCTGAACCCCCTGCACGACTCTCCATTGGAAATGAATGTCTGTTACTTGCTGTTTGTTGTGTGCAGTGGAATGGAGGCTTAAAGAATAACAGAACTTTTATTTTTGGGGTGAACTCTCCAATTCATCTGAGGTAAAATAAAACAAATAAAGAGAATGTTGGCTTGATTTCTGGGGCGATATAATAAGGTCAAATTCATGGTGAGTTTTTTCACGTAATAGTCGAAGGTAAATGTATAAAACCTGAGGTAAATTCCCTGGTGTTTCTTCAGGGGATGTTTGAACCCTTCATGAAGAGCTTCTATGTGAGGTCCACAGATGCCACACACATCAAAACACTGAAGGTAAAATACACCTTCATTCTGTCATTTTAAATTTCATTAAAACGTTTGTTTCTGTTCTCTGCTCATCTGCTGATGTTTTGTCTCCTCTTCAGTTGGAGATTTTGACTAACCTGGCTAATGAAGCAAACATCTCCACCATACTGAGAGAATTCCAGGTAAAGTTTCATAGATTCACTACATTTCTCTTCTCCATTTTCTTTGTTTTACCCAAAAAAAAAAAAGAAGCTGGTAGTTTTAGACAAATGCTGAAGTTTGAATACTTTAATAATTCAAATCTGGTAAGCTAGGTTTTGAAACATATTCAATGAATAGACATAACATTATGTTCTAGGTTTACTTTATTTTAGGGAACAATTCTCACTATTAACAAATCATTCCTTATGAGTTTTGTCTTTATAAACTCCTGATATGCTGCTTATTAATAGTTATTAAGGTAGTAATTGGGTTTAGGTAATGGCTATGAATAGGGATATTGTAAAAGATCATGTACAATATATATTTGTTAAGGGGATAGTTCAGCTAAAAATGAAAATGGACTCATTATTTACTCTCCCTCATGTGGTTCTAGAAACCATATGTACTGCAGTTTTTTTTATTCGTCGTACACAAAATAAGATATTTTGAAGAATGCTGAAGTCCTGTTACCATTGACTTTTATAGTAGGAAAAACTGATACTATGGATGTCAATGGTTACAGGTTTTCTTTTTTTTTTTCTTCAAAATATCTTAGTTTGTGTTCGATGGAAGAAAGAAACTTAAAGGTTTGAAACAAGCAAATGGTGACTTTTGGGGTGAACTATCCCTTTAAGTGCTATTAAACAGCCAATATCTCAATAATAATCAGGTAATAAGCTGCTATTATGATTGTTATTGGCTCTTTTGCTCCTCTTTTGAATATAGCATCAGATAAATGCATAAATGTGAATGAACAGCAGTTGTAAGCATCTTTGTGTTTGTTCCAGACGTATGTGAAGAGTCAGGATAAGGCGTTTGCAGCAGCCACCATCCAGGCCATCGGTCGGTGTGCGACAAACATCTCTGAAGTGACCGACACCTGCCTGAACGGCCTGGTTTTACTGCTGTCCAACAGAGACGGTAATCACATGCTAACCAGACGCCTTATAGAAGTTATTGTGTTATTAGCAGCAGTGCTTCTGAAAGTCTGCAGAGGGCACTATGGTGAAGGTCGTGTTCAGATTAGTTTGAGCGTCTTCTGATACTATATTTATAGAATGCCATTATATAGTGTTATTGAATCTTCACCGGAAAGTTTTACAAAGAGCTATTTAAAATTAGATGTACAGTGGCTAGAGTAACTTGTCTATTACATGTGATTTGTTATTTAACTAACAATTCTGGACAAATACTGTATGACTAAACCAATAATTCAAAGTGTAGTTTAGACGTTTTTATTGACTTGATTATATAAACCTTAACCTTTAAGCAAAACCTCTAATTTTATAATGTTGTATAGTTGCAGTATACACTACCTAACAAAAGTCTGGTCGTTGATCTCAGTTGTAAGAGCAACAATAATAACTTGACTTCTAGTTGATCATTTTAAAAAGTGGCAGAAGGTTGATTTTTCTGATGAATCATCTGTTTGACTGCATCCCAATCATCACAAATACTGCAGAAGACCTTTTGGAACCCACATGGACCCAAGATTCTCGTAGAAATCAGTCAAGTTTGGTGAAAGAAACATCATGGTTTGCGGTTACGTTCAGTAGGTGGGCTTGTGAGAGATCTGCAGAGTGGATGGCAACATCAACAGCCTGAGGTATCAAGTCGTTTGTGCTGCCCATTACATTACAAACCATAGAAGAGGGCAAATTCTTCAGCAGTATAGCCCTCCTTCCCATTCTTCAGCCTCCACATCAAAGTTCCTGAAAGCAAAGAAGGTCAAGGTGCTTCAGGATTGGCCAGTCCAGTCACCAGACATGAACATTATTGAGCATGTCTGGGGTAAGATGGAGGAGACATTGAAGATGAATCGAAAGAATGTTGATGATCTCTGGGAGTCCTGCAAGAACGCTTTCTTTGCCATTTCAGATGACTATTAATTAGTTATTTGAATCATTGCAGAGATGTATGGATGCAGTCGTCCAAGCTCATGGGAGTCATACACAATATTAATTCTCTTTCCACTGCACCATGACAGGGGTCACCAATCTCGTTCCTTGTTCCCTAAATTATTTAAATGCAAAACCGAGAAAACCGCAATTCATAAGCGCGTATTGACCGTGGAGGTCGTACCGTACGGTTCATTATATTGGGAACCATGGCATCCCTAACATATATCTATAATATATTTGTTGGGCCTTCTTTTATTTTCTATTATCAGCATTTTATTGAAAAAAGCAGGGTGTGTCCGAATCTACTTTATTAATTTTAAGGATGGAAAAACATGTTTGCGCCCTGTCGCATGGTCTAACAGTGTTGTGCTTATTCTCTTGAGTCTCATCTCACATTCATTTTTACATTCAGCTGCGTCGCGCCATGGCGCATTTGCTATTTACATGGTGGACCTTGTAGATGGAAAAACTGAATGCTTCACTAGCGAAAATTGGTGAACACGCAAACTATAAGGCAACACAAAGACTTTTTTTTTTTAAGGAAATTAAATACTTTTATTGTAAGTAATGGTATTCTGAGGAATGTTTATACCAGTTTGGTTGAAAGCATATCTCCTATAATATTTCTTGCTGGTATGGAAATCTTGGAGCTAGAAGCAAGTATAAACATGCAAGGATTGTTATCACAGCTAGTAAGATCACAACGGACCCCCAGAAGCAGCTTGTGGCGCTGTATAGAACCAGATCCACCCATCCTCTTTATTATGAATTTGAAAAGCTTCCTTCTGGTAGACGAAACAGAGTACCCACAGCAAAAACAAAAAAAAAAGTATGTATATATATATATATATATATATATATATATTTTAAAGAAATCTTTTATACTGTCTGATATTACCATATTGAATAAATGATCATGAAGTAGTTTGTATGTTACTTTGTGGTTTCATAGCTATGGTTGTGTATTGGTAATATGTGGTGCAGGAAGCTTTGTCTTTGTGCTTTTGTATTTGTGATGTTTGGGAGGCCAAAAACGAATTTCCACAGGTGTGGACAATGAAGATTTCTAATTCTAAAACAGAGCATCTGCAGCGCGAGGATAAAGAATGAGCCTCCTCCATTCAGCCTCTTTACTTTCTCTTTACTTTACTTTCTCTTTACTCCTTTAGTTTCATGGATAATAACGGTGTTGTACACACTACACTGAAGACATCCATTAGCCTACATATTTAATTTAGTTTAAGCGTAAAGATTTGTTTCAAAACTATTTCTAAACTATTTCCAGAAAACAAAAAAATAAACAATAAAAACGGAGTGCAGTCAAAATCTGAGTTATATCCAAGCACACGTTTTATTCTTATGCCCCATATGGTGACGCACTAAAGCACTCTGTGCTGGACTTTAGATCAGCTTTTAGATGATCAATGGTGCAGTCTATTTCAGTCCAACAATGCGCCTTGACACACCTTCTTTATAGACCAGAACACCCATAAGTTCACAAAGCAGCGCAAATGGATTTGCTATTTAAACAACGTGGTATAAAACGTGAATATTACTGTTGTGCTGGTCTGAAAATAGCAACAAATCGTGCCAAACATGTTTTGCACCTTATTGCACCGGGTGCATAATAGGGCCCTCTTTCTGTGTTTCTTGTCATTGTAGAGACTGTTGTTGCAGAGAGTGTCGTTGTCATCAAGAAACTTCTGCAGACTCAACCATCACAGCACAGTGACATCATCAAACACATGGCCAAACTGTTCGACAACATCACCGTAAGAGACCTGAACAGTGATACACAACAGCAGTTTGTATCTTTTTTGTTTAACATTATATTAAATAACCCCCTGATGCTCTGTGCATTTGATATCCATTTCTCCTTTAGGTCCCAATGGCGAGGGCCAGTATCCTGTGGTTAATGGGTGAATACTGTGAACACGTGCCTAAAATCGCCCCTGATGTTCTGAGAAAAATGGCCAAGTCCTTCACCAGCGAGGAGGACATTGTCAAACTGCAGACCGTCAACTTGGCTGCCAAACTCTACTTAACCAATTCCAAACAGGTCAAATCAAATTATGCTTGAGATTTGTGTGTGGTTTTGGCTGTGAGCTGTATATCATTTTTTGTTTTTGTTCTATACAGACTAAACTGCTGACTCAGTACATTCTGAATTTGGGAAAGTACGATCAGAACTACGATATTAGAGATCGCACGCGGTTCATCCGTCAGCTGATTGTGCCAAACGAGAAAAGCGGAGCCTTAAGCAAATACGCACGCCGTATCCTGATGGCACCCAAACCGGCTCCTGTCCTGCAGTCCGCCTTCAAAGGTAACTGCATGTTTTGTTTATGTCAATATGTAGGTGGATGGTGAGAATTCATTTAAAATAACAAGGTCAAATGGGACTGTATTTGTTTCATCCAGATTACAAAACCAGGGAGTAGGGCTGAACAATATATCGTTTGAGCATCGATATCGCAATGTGTAAATCATTAATAATCACCTTGCAGGATTATATTATTTATTAAAGATTGAAATATGTCATGTCAATCGGTTATCCGGGGGCCGGGTCGCGTGGGCAGCAGTCTGATGCTGCGTTCACACCAGACGCGTCACGCGCGTCAAGCGCGAGTGATTTACATGTTAAGTCAATGCAAACGCGCGAATAGACATCCTGCGGTGCGATACGCGTGAATGGCACGGCGCGAATGACGCAAATTGTGCGAATGGCACGGGGCGAATGACGCAAATTGCGCGAATGGCGCGGGGCGAATTGAGCGTTTTGCGCGTTTGACGCGCTTAACAAGCGTTTCGCGCGAATCTCTCGATTTCGAAAATCTGAACTTCAGCGTACATTCGTGCCGCGTTAAGCAATCAGAAGCTTGCTCTTGCGGGGGTTTGATTGTGACGTAGAACCTGTTGTCGGTGTTCCGTGGGAAATCCTCCAGCCTTCACCGACAACAGTTCATCAAACTGGGCTTGGCTCAGTCAGAAGCACCGCTGAAAGCCTCCGTCATCCAGGTTCAGTTTCTGGAGGAGTTTATGAGCTCACAGAGCTGGATGCACCTCTGAAAGAATGTAGTGCACTCAGACACGACCCTAAATGTATCGACGCTGTTTTTCAGTCTTCATAAAGCACACAAAACATTTTCTTCATAAAATCCATATTAGCCATTTAGCTATGAAGCTAGAGTCTTCGGGCAGACAGAAGCCCTGCCCATCACGCGAATCCGCGTCTGTTCTGATGTGATTTTGACATGCGAATGATGCGGGGTTTGAAACGCTAATGAAGCGAGTAAACTCAAATGTTCACGCGGCTATTTACGCGCGAATAGCGCGATTTATCCACGCGTTCCGCGTCTGGTGTGAACACAGCATTAGGAGAGAACTCCTGACTTCCCTCTCCCCAGACACTTTCTCCAGCTCCTCCAGGGAGGATCCCGAGCCGTTCCTTGGCTATCAGAGAGACATAGTCCCTCCAGCGTGTCCTGGGTTTTCCCCGTGGCCTCCTCCCGGTAGGACATGCCTGGAACACCTCCCTAGGTAGGCATCCAGGAGGCATTCGAAACAAATGCCAGAGCCACCTCAGCTGACTTCTCTCGATGTGGAGGAGCAGTGTCTCTACTCCGAGCTCCTCTCGGGTGTCAGAGCTTCTCACCCTGTCTATAAGGGTGCGCCCTGCCACCCTGCGAAGGAAAACTCATTTCAGCCGCTTGTATCCGAGATCTTGTCCTTTCGGTCATGACCCAAAGCTCATGAACATAGGTGAGAGTAGGAATGTAGTTTGTCCGGTAAATCAAGAGCTTTGCCTTTCTGCTCAGCTCCTTTTTGGACCGGTACACTACATAAGAACTTTCCTCCAATCTGAAATATGATTTTTTTTTTTATTTATACAATGATGACCATGTTATTTTGTGTTTAACTATTCGATTTCTACTTAAATATTGTTACACTCCCCAGAAAATCATAAAGAACTGTTTATTTAACTTCTATTTTTGCTATTTTATTATTATATGCTTGTAATTTATTATATTTTTTGCAGATGCACTGCATAGTAAAAGACTTGATCATCCTACTAGATCTAATTTAACGAAATCTTTCCAAATAGAGCTGTTTAAATCAGATAGTGAACTTGTATTTAAATCGCAATATTTATCGCAGCAAAGTAAAATATTGCAGTGTCTGATTTTTTTTCAATAACGTTTAGCCCTACCAGAGAGCCTTTGTTTTCAAGTGTAGTTAGTTTCTTTAAAAGTTTATTTTTAATATTTAAAAGTATATTTCTGTTGTCTGTGCAGCAAGCATTTGATAAGATTCAAGCTTCTTTGTGACCCCAACAGCGCTCAAATATTAGAGGGAAATAGATGTTTTTAAAATTTAAGTATCAATTGGTACCGAATTCCAATATCGTGACAAACCTAAAAAACACAATTCTGCGCATGGATGGATTTGCTTTTCTGTGTTTGGACTTTTAGAAGTGAAATTTAAGCCCTACTAAACTGAACTTAACTTAAGCTCAACTCTTAAAACTGAACTGTTTCAATTCAACGTTTCAATTAACTTAACTTCTATGTTAAGCTGCTTTGACTCTATCTACATTGTAAAAGTGCTATTGAAATAAACTTGAATTGAATTGAATTGCGGTTGTTAGTAACAACCAAAGAAATGTATATATGCAAAGAAAATTAATTAGTTTACAAATAAATGTGTGTCATAAAATGAAATGACGCAGGGAAAAAGTATTGAACACATGAAGAAAGGAAGGTATAGAAAGGCAGTGAAAGCCCAGACAGCAGCTGAAATCTCTCAGTAGATATTCAGCAACCCTCTGCCCTTCATCATTGTAAATGCATATTAGCTGCTTCAGTCCAACATCTACATTAGCAGGAGGATAAAGATGAAACCAGAGTTGACATTTCAGCTAAACAATAATCTAAAGCACAGCAAAGGAGACTCTCAAATGCTTTCAAAGAAAGAAAATCAAGCTGTAGAATGGCCCAGTTAATCACCTGACTTGAATCCAATAGAAAATACTAAATAAAACTCAGATTTGATAGACGAGACCAACAGAACCATCCAGATTTTAACACTCTGTGAGAAACACATGCCTGAGCGATGCAGGCAACTTTAAGCTGCCATCACCAAAAATATTATATGAAGTATTAGGGTGCTTTCACATCTGTAGTTTGGTTCGTTTGGTCCAGACCAAAGGCAACAAATAATACATACCTTTTCACACCGCACTGAATGCTTTGGTCCGAACCAGTTGAAAATAAACCAAAATGCAGTCATCTGACAAAATCCACATCACTCATTGGCCAGATGTTGTTAAATGTATTTCCTAAACTGCTTATTGATTGGGCAGAATTCACGTGCGGGAAAATGCCAATGGAACTCCCGCGAGTAAACAAACTAGCAGACACAAAATGTCGCTTTTTACTATGGAGCTAAGACTGCACTTGCTGATTGTATCCCTGCTCATAGTATACTATATAGTTTGTATACATTACTTTAGACACTATACATTTCGAGAATGAAGTACGGATATGGCTGAAAAACAATGTTTTAATGCATGGCAAACGACGAAGGCGCAAACGCACGTCACTTCAGTAGGAGGCGTGAATTAATTTAGCTAAACTGCGACATGGTCATCTTCCGGAAATATCACCAACGGTCCATCAGGTAATACTTTTCCCTCTCTCCCTCTCTCTCTCTTTTGGTAAAGCGCTGTCAACAAATATTTTTCCTCTATATTCCATAATGCACAGCACATCGGACTACGGCAGCTGGATTATAATAATAATAATAATAATAATAATAATAATAATAATACATTTTATTTAAAGGCGCCTTTCTAGCAACTCAAAGACACCGTACAATCAACAAGAGCAATAAAACAACAAGAGAAATATTAAAATATACACAGCAATAGTGCAGACAAAATTAAGTGTTAAAAGCCATCTTAAATAAGTGGGTTTAGAGTGTTGATTTGAATAGTGTGAGGGAGTTAATGTTTCAAATGGCAGGTGGTAATGAGTTCCAAAGCCGCGGAGCAGAGCGGCTAAATGCTCTGTTGCCCATAGTCGAAAGACGAGAAGAGGGTACAGACAAGTGGAGGGATTTGTCCAAAAAGGTGCAGGATATTTTGCGGTTGGGTCTGTTTTAGTTTGGATCATATTCTCACCACAAACGAACCGCTCCAGGGTTTGTTTGAAAGCATAACAATCGTACCTTAAGGAGATCTCGGTCCACTTTTGGTGCACAGTCAAGTGCTACATTCACACCTGCCCAAACGAACCGCACAAAGACGCAAAACGAACTCTTAGTGCGATTCAACCGAACTAAATAAGGCAGGTGTGAAAGCACTCGTAAATACATTTCAGTAGTTCATTACTTTCTTCTTCTGTCATTTCATGAATATCACACAACACATTATTCAGATTTTTGTGTTTTGTTTTATTTTTATGTTTGTATTGTTTGGGTTTTTACCAGAATCTGGTTCAATTCCACGTCAACAGCTCCTTTATGTATTCACTAGACTTTGATTTGATGTCTTATGTCACTAATTTAGTAACACAGGTTCTCTCTGGCCGTTCAGTGATCCACATTTAGTATTGGTACAGCTCAGAACATAAAACTGTACACATTTGAGATCCCCCCCCCCCAAATGTGAGCAATACCAAAGCGTACCAATCTATATTATACAGTGGAAAATGCCATGTGTTGCATAACAAAACAGTTAAATAACCAGATTCAGTTTACCATCATGCTCTGATTCTAAATTACACGACAGCGAACTCAAGAGTTCTGCTGACATCGATTTCTCTCACTTTTCTCTTATTTCATCACATCTCTCCGTTCCAGCAGGGCTCGAGCTGAAACACAACACTGTCATGGGGATTCTTTCTTCCCCGCAGGCCCGTAAATATCAATACAGCACGCAGAAATACTCCACAGCCCATCACAGTTATTTTTTTCCTCAGACGTTTCTCTCCAGATTAGCAGCATGAATCTGGAGGCTACACCTTCTGTTTTTCTGCTGTGGAATTGAATTGGTGGATTTTCCTTAATTTGATGATGGACTGAGGAATCTGGGAGGTTCGTGTGTCCTGTTAGCTGGATTATATGAGAGAAAGAGAGATAATATTAGATATGGTTTTATTATATTATCATAATAATAGGATTGGTGATTATTTTATCGTTTGCATTATACAGATAAAAATAATCCACATAAGAATTGCTCTTTTTGTGGAAATAATGATAAAACCTGCAATTGATCTATGCAATGAAGTACAACTGCATTTGTGCAATACAGTTTTGTGTATTTGA